TGTCATAGGAATCAACTCCGTACAATATCTTGTTCCATTCTTGTCCAGCTGTCTTAAACTGCAGGCATACGAGCTCATAACATTGGTGCTATCTCTTGTTAGGTACAGTTTTTCCATCCCATAATCAAATCACAATACAGAAGCAAGAGGTGGAGAGAATTTGAGTGTAGCTTCTGCAGAAGAGCACATGTGATCCAGTAGTTAGAGGTGCTCGGCGCTTGCCACGTAATCGATGTTTCGATCTTGCGCTCATGGTTCATCAGATCTTCCATACCCCGGGGTTAGTAATTTGGCACGAGATTGGTCTGGTAGTATAGCAATAGTGACTTGATATATCGGTAGGGCACTTTGAGTCACTTTGAAGGCTAGATATACATTTGATCACATCGAGCGATGATAAAAATCAAAGACGAATGCATGACACATCCCAGAGGCAGTGGCTAACTCTGAGAACTTTGTCTTCTTATCCCATATCTCATGCAACCCATTAAATAGTAAATAACTCATGGATAAAAAGACCATTAAGCACCCACGATTTTTCATTAAGATGGTCTCTCTGAACGGACACAGAGATTATCAAACATTTGACCCAGTGTCTTTTTCAAGCTTTATGAAAGGCAGCCGTAAGAATAGCATTCCGACTCTTTCCACGGTATAAATCGGCCTCAATTTGGCCTCCTGATAAAAATGTCTAACTCGACAGCTCGTGCAATATCTCTGATGATGAGCTCGAGATTGTTTATCACAGCACGAGATCCAAGAACACCCGTTATAGAATGTCGTAGGTTTAATATGGAAGCAATCAAATTTATAATAAGAAGAGTGACCCTCTCACGGAGAACGTTAAAAGCTCTGATGAGGTGATAGAGTCATTGGACCTTCTTTCACAGGATAGAAATTTCAAGCATATTTAGTCGAACCTATATCACTGTATGCGATGTATCACTTTGATGCTTAGCATTCAACGCGTGTGTGGATATCAACTCACTTCAGCCGTTACGCCAATTCAATTATCGGTGGAAATCATATCACTTCGCTTTTATGTTTTAGCGGCATGATGACATGAAAACTTGTGTGGAGTAAACTGGCGTTCAGATGTTGCTGTGAAAGAGCTCTCCGTGAAAACCCTCAGAGCAAACTATGCCAATGTTCATCTTTGCTTGCATTACCAGTGGAGACGTCGTTTTGCTCGTTGCCACAGGTGACCTCGAGAAGTAACAACTCTCGCGTCTCGTAAATAACTATGACAAATGTGTTTAACCGGAGCTGGGCTGCAATACATTATTACATATTCATGAGAAATTTAATCAATGGCTTTTAAGAGCCATGTGATGTTTAATCGTCCGCTTTGCAATCTGAGTTGCAGCAAATATGAATTTGAAGGAAGGGGTGCAAATTTGAAATAACGAACTGAAACAAGCACGCAATATCTAGTTATTACTTGACATCGGTGGCCCTTCTTTATGAGATTTAAATGGCCTCACTTTATGTAGTGATGTATCTAACTGATACCCTGCCATTTTTAATAGCGACAAGCAACATAGATAAAGTGATAATTACTCGGGTTCTTTCCCGTCTGACGGCAACAAGGGAATATTTGGCCCCCAATCGCTGGACAAGAACTTATCATTAGAGTGTTAGTAATCACTCGGAAGCTCAAATTGTTGGTTATGTGTTACGCGGTCGGCTTCTCAAAACACCCGTTCATTACGCCGCCAAATTCAGGACAAAATTATGTCCTTCATCGCCCTAGTAATTCAATCATACATGGCTGAAAGACGAAAATACATAAACGTGTAGAGAACATCTTTTTATATCAGAGTCAGACGTCCAATTTGAAGTTCCTTCAAAAGTAAAGAATCAATTCTTGATTGAATAACAAAAAATGGTACTCTCATATGACTCGCGGAAGGGTCACTTAATAGACCATAGTTTTAAAAACGGTCACCATCGGTCTTGCGCCCTGTGAAATAGCCAAAATACCCTTGCCAGCTTATGTGATTTTAATCTATTGTCCCTGTTGCACTGCAGAGAAGCGGTCTTCCCAGAATATAAGCACAGCGTTAAAATGTTTGATCTTGAACTTTAGAATGATAACTAAAAATCTAGAGGAAATGCTGTGTTATGTGGGAAAACGCGTCTGTGAGTTACACCTGTTTTCCTTTCGTTGAAACATTTTAATAAAGACTTTTGGGGAAAACGGCCGCGTTACCGCGCCAGCCAGAGATCTAAGTTCGTGATGGATTACTAACACTCTTATGAAGAGTTCTTGTCCAGCTAATGGGGTCGAGTATTCGCTGGTCTTCGTCTAATGGTAAAAAAACCATTTTTGCCTTTCTACCATGAACCTACAATTAAGTTCAATGGTCAAAGAGGATGTTAATTGATTAAAAAGGATGTATCATGTATTTAATGTCGTTCGTGGTGTCACAGCACTGAACAAATGCATGCAAGACTAGCCATGATTGGTCGTGTTCCACTGATCAAAATCGTTTTTGGGCTCACAGACAAACGTTCCCACCCTGGACCGCAGAAGAATGGGGGAGGGAGAGGGATGATAGTCTTGCGAGTTCAAACCAAAGACTGCGAGTGAATATATAGACACACGTAACACTTTATTACATGTAATTTTTCAGACCATTTGTGTTCACAGTCATTCTCTTGTTCTCACTGGTCGGTATTCTCACAAATCTCTTCTTGCTCATCCTGTTCACTATTCAGAGGAAGACACTATTGAAAGTGCAGGTAAAGAAAAATAGTACCTAACACTTTATGGCATTACCTGGACGGATGGGTAGGCTGTAGCCGAATGGCTGATGTTGCACGTTGCTAGAAAGCAAGGTACCAGCTAAACTACCCTGCTCCGTCACCATTTACACTTCTCGCCAATCACTGAGAGCGCCTTAGTCTGGTTATTCAAGAAATTTCGAAGAAAATGGACTTGACCGATATTTGACTACGTTCATGTAAAAGACAAAAACTTCGACCAGTAGGCCAAGCAATGGATGAAACGTGCGAAGATCTTCAAAACGATAATGGCGATGATGCAAGTATAATCAGAGTGTACAAAGAGTTACTGAGCAAAAAGTTTTGGGTCATGAAAAAATATCGTTTCCACACAACTAAATTTTTTGGTTCAAACAGCATTATACCTTTTTTGTTTGAACTTATGATGTTATCATAGCGTAAAAATCTATAGCCCAAACGTAACGCCGACGCCTACTTTCAAATTTTATCGCAATCGCAAGTTAGAGAAATACCTGCATCCTTATTTAGCGTAGCTGATACTGGCAGAAAACTTATGGTTAGAGTGATATTTCAAAACTCGGAAAAGAGGAAAATTATCTGCACAAGATTCAGGCAACACAGATGAAATGAATGGATTTTTGAATTGGAGATCGAGTTACGCTTGATCGGACGTTGCCATAAAATAGAGACACGCTCCAAGACGTCTCGACACTCCGTCATCAAACCGTTTATGGAACCCCGCCGTAGGCTCAGCACAAGCGGCTAACAGTCCGATATTCAAACAACTCAATTTACGTCGGTCACCTATTGCATACACACAATTTGCGCTAGTCGACCATGTGTAAAGACTGTTTGATGATCGCCGAGTGTCCTCATTAATTTGATCTTATCAATAGTTAGCTTCCTTTCTTTCTTATCCACATGTAATCATCGTCTAAAGGAAATTCCCAAAGCTCGCCTAGGTAAACTTTGAAATTCTCTGTGACAAAATGCGAAGATTAGTGAGATACAGTACAGCTTCGATAGATGCCTATAATTTTGAAAGGGTGAACCTCGTCAGGGGGCGCCATGGCCGAGTGATTCGATGCTCGTCGCGTCGCATTTAAAGCCGAGCTTCCCCCTCCCGGACTTTCTCCGGCAGTCAAAAACAACGTCTATGGAGCACCACAGCCAGGCTATCCTCAAGATTGCAAAAAAAATTCACATAATAAGTATTCTAGGACGTTCAAGAGGAAGACGAAAAGAGTTGGATGTTAGAAATTAGGCTTCCCAAAGAAAAAACACTGGAAAGACGGATCAATAAAATGTCAGAAAAAATCTCGTCATAGTTCATTTCTTCACTGATTTAACATTGCAGCGCTACACAGCATTCGTGATGAATATGATTGCCTCTGGGCTTCTCTATTCAGCCACCAACATGTGGATGTCTGCGCCGTGCACACTGAACAGCTGCCCCTTCGTTAGGTATGCCTACGACTTTTTTAAAGTATCCATTCATCACAAATGTGAAAGTTAGCATCTTTAGTCCGTGAGAAAACTTTTAGAAACCACATATGTATAGTGGGATTGCAGCTCAGATACGGCAATGATTGTCCTTGCGACACCCAACACGCTGGCCCATTGGGGCTATCTTCTTTCCTCCTTATCGCTTACCATCTATCGCTTCACAATTTTCGTATCGAAAAGCCTTGAGGAAAATGCGTTATATATAAAGGTTAGAACTAGCTTTGTAAATTTTTTGTAGTCAGAATTTCTTTGCTTCCACTAATTGCAATTCTGTGTGACGTTCAACTAATATTCTGTTACATGAAAATTACCTTTTAGCATCAAGCTACAGAAATCATGTTATGTTTCACGTACAAAAATCTCAGTATCTTTTGCTACTTCATGAGTTGCTAGGGACGAATATCGATAGTCAAATCTCTCGTTTGCTCCAAAATTTTATCTTTTGTTCAACCCGTCAACACTTACATAGAAGGGCTTTCGAAACGTTCTATGTTTACACTATGACACTACTCCTTTGCCAAAAATCTCTAGTACTGTTTTCTATTTGGTCTACCCTATACACTGCATGATTCGTTCACTGAAGGGGAGTATCAAAGTTAAATAGAACGATGAGAGCATTCCCACCCGAGTGATGTTAGATTTCATTAGTAGATGTCGTTATTCAGAGCTCATTTTATTTGACCGCCATTTGTGGTGGTACGATGTTGCAGCATACTCAGTTATGTAGAGTGGTTTGCAAGAACATTTGCGTCAGGTGGGATTCGAATCCACATTTCACGCTATACGGGAGCGTGTGCTGAACCGTTGCACTACCGCGCCCGTTTTAGCACCACTCTTTCTACGCTACAACGCGTTATGTGTGAACAGCCAACCGTCAACGATGTGGCGTGGACAGTCGTTATCGACTTAAATCCACTTATGCCGACGGATATTGATTCTATATGATGTCGTTATTGAACCGAGAAATAAAGAATGAAAGCCTTCAATGGCTCCTAGACTATTCAAACTTCAAGGACCACTAGAAATTTTTGCACGACGCTGAATCTGGAACCGGATTACGGAAAGTTACTGCTAAAACTATTCAATGAATCCATTAAATCGACTAATTTTGAAACCTCGTGATAAACATTCAAAATAAATCCAAAAAAGAATGTTTCTTTGAGTTCTAACATTTTCTAATACCTTATAACCACGATTTTCCCTATGTGTCATACTCTTTCAGTGCGCATATAATCTTATCTATAGAGGAAATTCCGAGGGTAAAACTAATTCTCCTCTTGTTGCTTTGTGCACGCAGATATTTTAAGAAAGGAAGCATGTAGCTGATATAATCCTCAAGCAGTGGAATGGCTACCAAAATGCTTTAGAAAAACTTACCACGGACTCTGTCCAATCAAGAAAAGCGTGTCCAAGATGAAACATAATGTTCTCTTTACTACTGCAGCTCGCCAAGTACGCTTTTTTACAAGCCAAGCGCGGTACTGAACTTGCGACTTTTCAAGTCATCAAATGGCCAATAAAAGTCCATTACAAGTTGTGCCTGGTGGTAAAGGACTCAGAAAAATCGTGTGTCAAAAATGATGAACGCAGTCACGAAAGGGTCAAACACAACACGTGTTGGCTTTTTCCAAAGTAAATGATGTTCGTCTAGCCGTGAATTTTTGTAGCGTTAGAAACATCACAACGCAAGACAGAGTTGTGTTTGTTTAGAGATTTAGGGAGATAACGAAATTTTTGTTAATGGAGTCGTCCAAAAGCAAGGTGCTGTTTTGTGTTCCTTCATTAACGCTCCCTTGCGATACACGTGAGAACATCTTAGCTCGATTATCTTCTATATGGCAAGGCAACCGACCATACTTCCATTATGAAATATTCACAACATCTAAAATTTTCATATAGAACCTGAACTAGTACGCAAAAACTTCGAAGATGTTAGTGGACTATATATGCGAAGAAACGAATCAAATGTAAGAAGTGCTGAGTTTTCGTAACCGATGTGGTAACGTGTGAAACGGCACCGTAAGGTTCTGCGGCGCACTTATGTACGCAAGACAAAGCTGTGTATGTGAGGTGTTATACGATGCAGGAGGTTTTCAAATGCGTACCTCCTGTCGTCCGTTCTCTCGGTGAGGATGGACTTTTGTGTGGATTGATTGATGATTTGATTGATTGTCACTATCGGTCCTTACTGGGTTCAACACGATAGATGATTGCTTTATTAAGCAACAACGTTACAGTCGATATAGACAACAATGACAGTGTCGGAATAGACAACAATGATAGAATCCGTATAGACAACAACCTGAAATATATATGCACATATATATCATTACATTGGTGATATGCCAATAGTATGTACATCACGACGGTGTAGACTATGTGACGGTAACAAGAGATTGATGAGTACGGATGACTAGGACTGCGGTGCTTGACTAAGCGGAGGACATCGGGATGCAGTTGTGCTTGCCCAGAGAAAGACATAGACAGCGAGGGTGGGAGTCAGTGATTATATACGTCGTAATGCTTCTCCGGAACTATATACGTGAACTCAAACCCATCCCCGAATTCGGGCCAAACAAAACCCACAGGACTTGGTCCACCGCCGAAGTTGCAAGCTCCGCTTACAATGCGATGAGCTTCATAAGCAACTGATATGACGAGAACATACACAAATAGAACGACCAGAAGTGAAGCAACAAGAACGCAACAGACAAGTGACGACAGCGACCGCTCAAGGATCGGATAAATTACAAAATGTTCTGAACTTTGATGATAATATCGTAGCCGTCTGGTCGTACCCTCTGGGATCCCACGTGATTCACCTAGAAAAGTAGCAGCGGCTCCGTGGAACCGCTGCTACATGAAGGATTACGTGAAAAATCTAGCGATGTAACGTACCCACTATAAGCTATGGAGGTGACGTCGCTGAGTGGTTGCGAAGCTTGGCTCGCCGCGCGTGAGGCTAAACCTTATTTCCTACACCTTCCAACAGTCAGCAACGAACGCCCCATACAACATCACACCCAGGCAGTCCTCGAAATTGCAAGGAGACGCGCTCAACCAATATTCAACGACGTTCAAGTGGAAAATGAAAAAATGATTTGAATAGCAGATGCACTGGGATTCGTATAGTAAGAAACTGCGGACCATCAAAGCCATACTTGGTGCGCTTTTGCTCAACAGAAATTTTCCTTAAGGCAAATATTATTATTTAAAAGCTCAAATATTAGTCTTTATCTCAATCCTAATCTTTTTCCTTTGATATGTCACACAAGACCGGTGACCTACTTTTTTATAAGTATTGAGAAGGCTATGATGAGGGCGGGGTCAACGAAAAGTTAGCCACTGAATTCTAAAAAGAATTCTATCTCGTGCAAGTCTCAATCAAAGATAAAAGCAGTTTGTATAAACTTTTGCATTTCTTTACTTGTGTCTAGAGAGAGTCAGACTTTTGAATTAATAGACCTTAGTTAATTCGATTCTGCATCTAGCCTTCAAAATGGTGAACAGGAAAACGACCAAAATTTGTTGTAGCAAATGAGTAATCTGCAACTCTTCCAGCTGCTTCTCATTTTTCCTTGGTTGATGACTTTGCTTTTCACCGTCACTTCATTGAGCATGGGGTGCTTCAAACGGTACAATCGATATTCATTAATCTACACTTACAACTGCTCCGAATGCGATATTTTTTGTGAGTTCCATAATCTAATGGTCCATTTTGAGCCCTATTTTTCCAGACAGCAGATACTTTCTGTGCACACTAGGAATAATTTATAAGTCTGGTTTAGTGATCAATAATCTAAAATATTCTGAAGTACAAAATCATTTTGAAATATCGATTACCAAACTACACTGATAGAAAATCTTTGGAATGTACAATGAGCCTCGAATTTGGAAAGACAGTCAAATAGCAAATCAAAGCTGCTTTTTGGTACGGCACTTGCTACATGGTACTGACGGTGAGTTGTGGAAGTGTTTCTTCTCTATTCACCTCCCATACCATAACTACTGAGCCGCTCAGTTTTTCACAAGATTCTAATCTCGGCCTGCGAAAGTGGTACACGATATCAGAATGGCCAAGTACTTGACCGAGTGGACTCCGTTGTCCGATATTTGACTGCCCTCATCCGAATGTGGCGTGTTAAAAAAGATGTAACTTCATGTATAGCTTTTATTTCTTTCTCTCACTGTAAAAGCTGAACAGCAAGGGTTTGCGGTGCATAGCGATAACATATCAGAACAAATTAAAGCTGATTTGAAGCACTGTGAAGCGAAGATTACATTTAACTAGTTTCCCATCAATACGAGAGGAAAGGAACTTATTTCTCACTTCTTAGTGCAAGTCAAACACAAGTCTTTGCATTAAGTTTTATTTATAATTCTAGCTGGTTTTTCGTACATCGACGTAAATTTCTACGCTGGTCAAGCGATTCCGCTGTTGATGATAAGCGCTTATCTCTTCATACTCGGCTCAATTTATAGAGAACGAAAAGCGAATGTTAACCGCAATGACAGACGAACGTTCTTTGATGCCAGACTGGTCAGCTGGTTTAGTACTCTAACGATAAATTTGGTAACAGCAGAACACTAGATGAAATTCAGTTTTTTCCTTTCTGATTCTGACTTTATGGTTGCTTCTTAGCCTCAATTTCTCGTTATTTTGCTTTTAATCAGATTTCGTTTTTGAGGAGAAAAAATGTTCAAAGTTGAAAATTTCAGGCGTTTCAATTCTTCATCATTTGCTGCACTCAATATTTGTCCGCCCTTCTCTTCAAAATTGTGCCAAAAATAAGTTCTGGCACCGTTTGGGGTGCACTCATCACGAACTGCATCGGTACGGGTGTATTTTATACACAATTTTGAAAGGACTGAACAAGTTAAACGGGACATACTGATTAGTCTAAATCTACAGAAATTAAAATTCTATTAGACTGCAACATCAATACATATAACGAACGGCATGCTTTGATTAGAAGTCATAAGTTGTCGACTATTTTTCTATTCTTCAAAACCCCCAATTTTACTACCCGCCTACCTAACAAAGCTGAATTTTCAGCCGTCAAGAATTTCCTGGTTTTTGATAATGAACGGTAAATCTTCAATAAAGAGACAGCTTGTGAAGTTATGATTAATGAAATTGTACAAGGAACTCACTTCTCCTTTCTATGAATACAAATGACATGTATCTATCATACACTCTGTTCTGCACCACACAAGCAAAATACAGTCAGTTTTAGGAGTATTTGAAGGCTTATACTGCCGTTTGCCTGCTCTAATGCTTTTTACAGTCACAAGTCACCTATAGAAACTGCGATATATGACTCCGATAAATTTCCATTTTTAAGTAGTTTTATGATGCATATCTAACTATGCAAAAGTCCCGTCGAGGTCCAGAGTTTTGCATACTACTCAACATTGATGAATATGTACACAGTTTTCATTCGTTTCTTCCTCGTGCAACTGTCGTCCATGGTGATTGTCTGCTTCAAGCGTGGTGACGCTAGGCCCCTTCCGTGATTTTGAACTCGTTACCATTGCTGCCGCAAATGGTTGACGTTAGCCACAAATGTTTCCCTCCATTGTTTGGGTGGTCTTCCAAGCGGGCGCGTACATTCTATTGAAGTCCACTCCACATTTATTTTCGTCCATCTGTCATCGGTTTTCTTATTATGTAACCGACTCATCTATGTTTCGCTATCGATGCGTATGTCTATGAATCATAAAGATGAGATAGTTTTCAAATACTGCAGCTGCGTAGACCGACCTATACGGTGTGAGCGGCTGTTAACTTTCAAAAGGCTTTGCTCGAGCGCCCT